GAGCTAAGAATGTGCATTTTTAATTAAGTGTAAATTATTTTTGAATAGGAAATGTATGTCAGTTGCATACAATTTAAATTTTTTTAATTTATTTAATTATTGTTCAAGTACAGTTTTCTGTTTTTTACTCCCATCCCAGCCCACCCTCCCCCAGTGCTCCCCACCTCCCTCCCATTTCCGCCCCCCTTAGTTGTTGTCCACGTGTCCTTTATACTAGTTCCTGTAAATCCTTCCCCTTTTTCCCCTGAAATTCCCTCCCCTCTCCCACAATTTAAATTTTTTATAAATTAATTTTAGAGAGAGGGAGGGAGAGAGGAAAAAAACATTGATTTGTTGTTCCACTTATTTACACATTCATTGGCTGATTCTTGTATGTGCCCTGATCAGGGATCAACTCCACAACCTTAGGGTGAGAGGACTATGCTCTAACCAACTGAGCTGCCCAGGTAGGCTAATTGTACAAAATTTAAAAGATCAAAAGGGGAAAATTTCTCTCCTATCCTTGTTTCCCAGCTACCAGTTTCTCCTCAGAGAGGCAGCCACTGTTACCATTTTCTGTGCATTCTTTTGTAATCCATTAAAGAAAAATCAAACCTCTCAGGTGATTTTTATGCATAATAAAAATTGAAAGTCATTGCTTTATAAAGAAAAAATGAACATTTGCCTGCATTAATGACTATCTTAACCAGATTGACTATCCCTTGCCCTTCTGAGAACCGATTATCCTGACAAACAACACTCAAGTCAATCATATATGAATAAATTTGAAATTTTCCCATCTCCTCTTGGTAAAGAAAACATCTTCAATAGTTTTAATTATTGGGCTGGAAGTTACCACCTCTGCTTCCAGCATTTTGTGGCCCAGTCTGGTACTTCACACTGGATTCAGGTGTTTAATAAACTGATTAGCTGGTGATCAAAGTGGGATTGAACTTCTGACTGCCTAGATGCTGGGGATTCATCATAACCAAAGAAAATTCTTGACCTTTTTTGGGCAGTGGGGAGGAGAACCACCCTGCTGTAGGCAGGAGCTTCACTTATTAGGTGATAGAAATGCCTATATCTCAGAAATGTTGTACACGCAATCAATGGTTTGTTGCAGACATTAACAAGTCCAGACTGCCTTGCTCCTGCATTACTAGGAAGCTCCACTTCACTGCTTCTGTCTGAGTAGGGTCCAGGGCTTCAAGCACAGTAAAGTGTGGGATAGTGTTTTCAGCTATGAAGCATGGTTGAATAGATGTCACACAAAGGAGCAGATGTGTTTTATGTGCCAACCCAAAACTTTAGCCCCATTCCACTCAATTTCAACCTGAAAGGCTAACAAATAATGAGTGAAGAGATGCTCAAAATTGTTAGGAATCAGAGACATTCAAATTTTTAAAATGAGAGAGCATATCATGCTCATCAGCTTGGCCAACTTCGGAAAGGGAAAATACTAATTGCAGGCTAGATAGAATATGGGAAAACAGGAAACTTCAGGCACTGCTGGTGGAGAGTATTCTGGCTGTACCAAGTGAAATTAAGTATATGTATACACTGTGACCCAAGAGTCCCATAGTGGGCACATGCCAGAGGAATCCTCCATAGGTCCAGGGGGAAATGGTGAATTTCACTGTGGTTTTGGAATAGTGGGAAGTTGATGGCAATCTAAGTGTCCAGCTCTAAGGGAATTAAGTGAAAATAAATTTTCACTGTGGAAAACCATCCAGCATTTATAATAGAAACATCAACCTAAGCATACATTCAGCAACATGGACAGATTTTTATAAACATAGTGTTGAGTGAAAATGTACAAGTTCATTAGAACAAGTTTTAATGTGAAATAGAACAAGTTCTATAGCACAATTTATGAAAGTTAAAAGCACAGACATAGGCAGAAATTATATCAGTGGTTGCTAAAGGCTGGGGCAGGCAACGAAATGAGCTTCCTTTGGGGTTGATAAACATATTGTGGAAGGAGATAGTAATGATGGCTGCACAAATTTTTTATACAATAAAAACCACTAAATTACATAGTTCAAAGGGTGACTTTTAAGGTGTGTGAATCATATCTCGACAAAAGAAAAGCACACACATACCAATCCTGTTTATTTTACAAGGATACTTAAATATAAAAGAACATATAAAAATATTGGAGTGGCTGCCTGAATGGAGAGAGGATGGGATTAGGGATTAGGGATTAGGATGGGGATGAAGGCTTTTCACAGACCAGCAACTGAGGAAGATGATTAACTCAATCCTCTGTGCCTTATGGTAACACCAACATAAAACAATAACAATAAAAGAGAAGGACAGGAAAAAAGATGTTTATAGTTTTAATAAGGGAAAATAATTACACTATAATGAGGAATGAAAGGAAACAGAATGCTACAAGTTTAAAAATGTTAGAAGCGCAACTATGTAGAGCCATGTACATAAATGGGAAAAAGCGTAACAGACGGCTGTAGTACAGTGTAGTGCAATGTAGTGACAATGTTTCTGCCACTGGTTGTATCATCTTGACCACCACGGTACTTAATCTCCCTGTAGCTTAGCTTCCTCAATTGAAATAGAGATGACAATAATAGCACCTACTTCCAAAGGTGCCTATGAGAATTAAAATGAATTAATTTATGCCTGATTACAGCAAACCTTATATAAGGGTTACCTGGCACTGGTATTTTTCTAACTTTTTATATTATAGGCTCTGGACTCAGACTGTCTATCCAATCAGGGTCCACTGTCCATTAATGGTGTGACTTTCACAAAACTACCCAGTTAGAGACTCAGTTTTCTCATCTATTGTGAGGATTAAAAGAGATAATGTATTTGGCACATAATAAGCACCCAAATGTTAATGTATTATATTATTAGGAATATTATTAATACATTGTCATTGTTTTAAAACTAGTGCAAAAAGAGTAGAAAGTACAAAGTATGACATTTATCATGTTCTTCCTAGTGTATATATTTTTCTATATTCATTAAACTTCATTTTGTGCTATAACACTCTCAGACCTTCCTCTTTAGATGCATTGCACTTTGAACATCTCCTCCATAAATGTCACGAACTATAGAAATGATCCCTGAAAGTATAGTCTTCCCCATAAATGTAATTAATTAATCAGGTAGGTAGCAATTTCTAGTTCATCTCTGTCATCCTAAGTCGAATCTGGGCTCCACGAAGACAAGGATGGTATCTGTCTATGCCCAATATCTAGCACAGAGCCTGGCACTTTGTTGACTAACAAATATTTGTTTAATCAGTGAACAAGTAATGAGAAAAACATTTTAACATATACATTCTAAAAGAGCATAGTCATGAGATTAGAGGCAAGTATCTCATTTCCTCTATTTGTCTGAGAAATAAGGAGTTGCCCATTTTGTAAACTAGGAAGACGGTCAACACTCAGATTCTGAGAGCTATTTTGGCAGCCCTTCCTTACTACCCGAACCTGTCTGAGGAATCCTTTCAGCTCTAGTAGAATACGGGAAACCCAGTACTTCTCCAGAACTTCCTGTTCAGTAAAGAAAAAGTACTCAGTCTCTCTAGATTATCTTCGCCCAGTGTACATAGCCCATACCCACTGACTCATGAAAGGGCAGAGGCCTTAGAACGATCTTTCATGTCATAGATGAGCAAATGAGCCCAGATAAGTGGATTGACTTTCCAAAACCTAACACATGCTGATAAAAGAGCTGGCACAACTAGAAACAGAATGATTCTTACAGTTCTCTCCCCCTCTCTCTCAATATTATACATATATATAATAAATTATAAATAAAATAAATAATAACTTTATATATAAGTATATAAATTTATATATTATAAATATATAAATTAAAAATAAAGTAACAGGCCCATGATAAATTCAAATACAGGAATTCAGTATAAAGTCTCCCTTTCAGATCTTTGTGGTGATAGAATAAATTTTGATAGTTCTGTAGTTTGATTGCAGTGATGGTTATGTAAATCTACACGTGTGATAAAGTGAAATGGAACTATACACACATTATGTCACTATCAATTTCCTGCTTTTGTTATTATGCTATCGTTAAGATATAACCATTGGGAGAAACTGGGTTAAGGGTAACGGATCTTTGTACTATCTTTACAACTTCATTCTGTGCACTCGCACACGTGTATTTTAAATCTCTCTCAGACAAGCTCCCCAACTCTAGTCCTTCTCCCTACTCCCCAAAGGTGACCACTATTACAAATTTCTTTCATATCCTCTGCCTATTAATCCTAATATCTTATATATGTAGATATGTATCTATAAATTTATAAATACTTTTAACACAAACAGTAGAATATCAAACACATTATTCTGCACCTTGCCATTTCTCAACTAATTTACTTTAGAGATTTTTTTCCCATGCCGCCAATACAAAGATTGATTTCTTTCTTTTTTCCTGCTGCATAGTATTCCATTGCACAGTGGTATCATGCGTTATTTCAACAGTTTCTTATTGATGGTCATTCAAGTCTCAATAAGAAATTGAATTTAAGTAATTTAGAAAAATTTAAACATGAAAGATCAGTTGGTGTTGAGACCAAACACAAAGTTTTCAGATTCAAGACTTGCCTCCAGAATATCTTTTGACCAGAAGGGGGAACGCTAGCAGCTAGAGAAGCAAAACGATGGGAAATTTCCCCAGCCAATCGGGAAGAAGAGGGACTGGCAGAGAATTACTGCCGGGTAGGAGTTCGTTGAGGGACGCCCTACGGCTTTAAGTGGGGGACTGTGCTCCAAGCCAAGCTTTCTCCAGGCTGTAACTCAGATATACCGAAGTGCGGAAGGGTTATTCACAGTGTATTGTTGGGTGGCCATCTCCAGCCTCCTGCGGGGAACCCTCTGCCCAGGCAGACTATAAACCCCCACCGCCTCCGGCCCACGAGCGCAGGGGGTATACACGTGGTGACCTGCCTGGGGCCAGTTGCCAGCTCTGGCTCCTCCTCCCTCCAGTTCTTGCTCCGCTTTCTGCAGTATCACGTGCAGCCGTGCCGGGTGCAGGATGGCGGCAGCTGCGGTGGGTGTTAGACTACGGGACTGCTGCAGCCGGGGCGCTGTGCTCCTGCTCTTCTTCTCCCTTTCCCCTCGGCCCCCAACTGCCGCCGCCTGGCTGCTGGGCCTGAGGCCCGAGGACACCGCTGGAGGCCGCGTGTCCCTGGAGGGGGGCACCCTACGTGCGGCAGAAGGCACCAGTTTCCTCCTGCGCGTCTATTTCCAACCCGGGCCCTCCGCGCCTGCGGCGCGGGTGCCCGCACCCACCCTTTCCCCGGGGGAGAATGACACCAGAGACTGGGCTCCGCGGCTGGTGTTTATCGAGGAGCCCCCGGGCGGGAGCAGCTTGGCGCCCAGCGCTGTGCCCACGCGTCCTCCGGGGCCTCAGCGTTGCCGCGAGCAGAGCGATTGGGCGTCGGACGTGGAGGTCCTGGGGCCCCTGCGCCCCGGAGGCGTGGCCGGCTCTGCTCTAGTCCAGGTGCGGGTGCGGGAGCTACGCAAGGGCGAGGCAGAGGGGGGAGGCGCGGGCGGTGGCGGGAAGCTCTTCTCGCTGTGTGCCTGGGACGGGCGCGCCTGGCACCACCACGGCGCCGCCGGCGGCTTCCTGCTGCGCGTCCGCCCGCGGATGTACGGCCTGGGCGCCGGCCTGCTGCCCCCGGCGTGGCTGCGGGCGCTCGGGGCGCTCCTGCTGCTCGCCCTGTCTGCTCTGTTCAGCGGCTTGCGCCTGAGCCTGCTCTCGCTGGACCCGGTGGAGTTACGGGTGCTGCGGAACAGCGGCTCGGCCGCCGAGCAGGAGCAGGCGCGCCGCGTGCAGGCGGTGCGCGGCAGGGGAACCCACCTGCTCTGCACGCTGCTCCTGGGCCAAGCCGGAGCCAACGCGGCCCTGGCCGGCTGGCTGTATACCTCGCTGCCGCCGGGCGTCGGGGATCAGGGGGAAGACTACGGGGAGGCGGGGATTCACTTCCCTTGGCTGCCGGCGCTCGTGTGCACCGGTGCCGTGTTCCTGGGCGCGGAGATCTGCCCCTATTCGGTGTGTTCGCGGCACGGACTGGCCATCGCCTCACACAGCGTGTGCCTCACCCGACTCCTGATGGCGGCCGCTTTCCCCGTGTGTTACCCGCTGGGCCGCCTGCTAGACTGGGCGCTGCGCCAGGAGATCAGCACTTTCTATACAAGGGAAAAGCTACTGGAAACTCTGCGGGCTGCGGACCCCTACAACGACCTGGTGAAGGAGGAGCTCAATATCATCCAGGGCGCCCTGGAGCTTCGCACAAAAGTGGTGGAGGAGGTGCTAACCCCCCTCGGAGATTGCTTCATGCTGCGCTCCGATGCCGTGCTGGACTTTGCCACTGTCTCTGAGATCCTGCGCAGTGGCTACACTCGCATCCCCGTATACGAGGGCGACCAGCGGCACAACATTGTGGACATTCTGTTTGTCAAGGACTTGGCCTTCGTGGACCCTGACGACTGCACTCCACTCCTCACCGTCACCCGCTTCTACAACCGGCCCCTGCACTGCGTCTTCAACGATACTCGGCTGGACACCGTGCTGGAGGAGTTTAAGAAGGGTGAGCAGTGGTCTATCTCCTTCCTCAACTCCTACCCCCTGCAACAGTATTACCTTTTCATAAACTTGTGAGGCTTCAGGTACCCAAAGCAATTCTCCTTTGGTACCAAAAACTCAAGGTAGACCCTTCTCATGACTCCCTGGCTCTTCTTATTTCACTTTTCCCTACGTTCCTTTCAGTTGACTGAGCTTCAAGCTTCTTCCCCTTGACCTGGCTCACAAGATTCCCTATACTTCTTATTCATTTCATTCCAGTATCTTCTCCGGGCCTACCAGTTGCCAGTACTGTGCAGGATGGACTTTGGAGATAGTCCTTGGAGGTCATGGCATATAGCTCCTCAACCACTATAGGAGGACCCTCTGCAGGTTTCCGTAACAAGCAGCCTTTGTTTTAAACTCCTCCCAGGGCTGGAAGCTCACTATTTCCAGTGCAAACTCATTCCACTGCTGGACAGCTCCAGCTGCTGACATTAGCTTTCTTACATGGAGTAGGAATTTATTTCTCCTAGGCTTCTCTCTGGGTCCTAGTTATGCCTTTTGAATGACACAGAGTAAGCCCCAAACACCTTAGACAGTCTTCCTCCCTCCACCTGTTTAATTTTTCATCAGCTATTCACTCCACACATCAAATACCTAGGTTGGAGAGTAAAAGTTGACTAAGGCAGTGAGGTCCTGGTATTTCTGGGAACTGTAGTCCTATGAGGTAGGCTAGGTCTGTGCCTAAAAAAATGGTCTGGTAAAGAGACCACTAGACAACTTGCATATCCACTGGAAAAGAAAACTTGTGTGATTCCTTCAAGAGCAGTCATCATGCCCCCTTGATGTCATGCTTATAACATTATGTGTTATAATGCTCACTACATGTCTGGGGTTTCTCTTTGGAAACTGACTTCTGGGATTGAGTACAATTCACTCAAGAAACATCAGCCTTGGCACTTTGGTTAGTCCTCTTGGCATTCCACAGTTTGGTCCCCCTAGTTAACCAGAGTTGACCCAGAAGGACACTTGGTTGTCTTTGAACAATAAATCCACTTTCAAGAGTCACCATTGAGAGCGTTCAGAAGACTATCTCACAGACTCTGAAAGCAATTCCAGAAATGATTCGTGAATGGTGACATGGTTAGAAAAAGGGAAGGGCCTTCCAGAATGACTGTTTTGAAGGAGGCACTCATCTATACATGTGAGCTGGCTCGTGTATTACAAACTAAACCAAAAATAATAATTCCCTGACTTTACAGTCAGGCATCTAATGTAGCTTCCTTGTTACTAGCAGAAATCTCATTTGACTGTGTGTTTTTTATTTTGTTTATCAAAAATTAAATCCCATTGCCTTATCTTGTTAGGTAATTACTTTTAGCTCTTTGCATGCAGAGAATTATCATCTTAGGTAACCTTTAGCTCTTTGCATGCAGAGAAATATCTGGGGTTTTCCTTCTGCTACCAAGGGGGAAAAAGTTAAAAAGCTTCTTTCAGTCTCAGATTTAGAGAGAGAATAGCCCTAGACTGTGTAGGTATTATGAGAAGGGGAGGAAATGTATATACATATTGCAGCTGTTTTAGCTCCGTTTGGCTTCTGTCTCACCTTCTGTCTGTCTCCCCCTGGTTCTTACATAACTCGTTCCCACAGAATTCTGAGGTTCATCTATCCACTCTTCAAATTATTCTTCCATTTTGTGTGCCTTACAGAAGAGAGTCTTGGATCTGGGCATGAAAGCTGTGAAAATCTGTATAGTTTGTTAAGAGTGCTATAACAAAATAACACACACTGGGTGGCTTAAATAACAGAAATTTATTTTCTCACAGTTCTGGAAGCTGGTAGTCTTATGATCAAGGTGTCAACAGGAATGGTGGTCTCTGAGACCTCTTTGCTTGGCTTGCAGGTGGCTTCCTTCTCACTGTGTTCTTATCCCTGGAGTCTCTCTCTGTGTGTTCCAGTCTCATCTTTCCATAAGGACATGAGGCAGGTTGTATTAGGACCCATCTTATCAGCCTCATTTTAATTTAACCACCTCTTATATGTGATATTTAAGATGTTTAAGACAGTGCTATGGGAAGACATTTTTAATGAAACTCCTGTGAAGTCGTTAACTCATTCGTTTAGTATTTATTGAGCATCTACATAGTATGAGGCAATAGAGGAGACAGTAAGACTGCCCTCAGCAGGTTAACAGTCTACAAAGGCATACAGTGTTAGAATGAGGCAGTCTTCTACAAACCTGTGTATCCCCAGTGCCTTGAATAGTGCCTTGCACAGAGCAGGCTACTCAAAAATGTCAATAGTGATCTGAAATGAGTCCTGCTGCAGAATTTCTAAATCTGGTCTGAAAAAGGCTTGTTAGGGTTCTAGTAATTAGTTTGCAATTAAGTAGATCATGAAAGAGACGCAAGCCATTACGGTGAACACCATGCCAAAGAAGATTGGGTCCACATCCCTTCAGAGTCTTGCTCCTTCCTCAGAGTGTGGTTCATCAACCAGCAGCATGGGCCTCACCTGGAAGCCTTGAGAAGGGTAGAATTTCATGTCCCACTCTAAATCCACAGAATAAAAGTCTGCATGTTACTAACCCCCCAGGAGACTCACCTGTACCTTAACGTCTGAGAAGCATTGCCTTTGGAGAACACTTTCTCACAGTGGTTGGTAGGTTTACTTAGGACAGAATAAATACAGGGAATAATGATCAAAGTGGGTGTCCTGTGGCTCTAAGCTATATAATACAGTGGTCATTTCTGACAGTTATGTTTGTACCATAGTTAGGAGAGAAAAGCTGAGTTGGACTACTCTTTTTTTTTCCTTTAAAAATAGCCTTTTAAGTAAGTCATAAAGGCCCTTCCATTTCCCTCACTTCTTGGCATCTCTAGTTAGTTCACTACGTACACAAAACCCTTAGGAGGTAGGAGAGGCAAATGATAATATTTTAATAGGAGCAACAGTTACCATTAATTGAGGGACCACGCTGCCAAGCCCTTTACATACTCAGAACAACCCTCCAGGGTAGATATTATTAACTCCATTTTACAGATGAAGAAACTAAAGTGCAGATCAATTACATGACTTCCTCATTTTTGCATAGCTAATAACCGACCTCATCATAATTTGAAGTAGGTCCGTAAGACCCCAAAGTCTATTCTGTCACATTACCCTAGTCTTACTCCCCCTCCCATCTCAGAACCCCTGCCACCTACAAGCTGGCCTTTCACCTCTGACTTGCTGCCCATGGCTGTTTCACCTCTAGTTTCTGCAGGTCAGAAATGTCAGTTTTATAATGATAATAATGGCTAACATGCATATTGCACTTTACAAAACATTTCTCCCTACCTTTGTTCTCTGATCGTAATCTGGTTACAAGTGAGAACCCTGAAACTGCCTATGATCATCACTCAACTAGTATGTTCCAAGGCCCATATTCAAATACAGTTCATGTAACTCCAAAGCCCTTGCCCATATGGGATTTTACCTCTGTACTTGTGATAATTCCCAGGCCTTTAGGAGTAAAGGAAACCCGTCAGAAAACCCATCTTTCTAGCTGGCATGTAGCTTTACAAAAGGAAACAATATTTCTCCCCAATGGACTATCAACTTCTTGACAGCATAAGTCTTGACAACTTATTTATTTTGTATTCTCATTATAAGCACAGTGGCCACCTTGGCTAGAAGATGAATAACATATATTGAATAAATGATTTTAAATAGCTAACTTCCATATTTCTGTGTTGAGTGAGGTAATTTTTCTGAACCCTAAGTTCAGAAAAATTAATGTTGTTTGTTCCATTGACCGTAACCAATCTTTCCTCCTCTTGCTGGGTGCTTTGCCCCAATTACTGGCCCCACTGCCCCTCCAGTCTTTCAAGCTTTTCTTCATCACCACCTTCACCTTAGTCTGCTCTAGCCGCCATAACGAATTGCCATACACTGGAGGCTTAACAACAGAAATTTCTTTTTTCATAATTCTGTAGGCTAAAAGTCCAAGATCCAGGTTCCAGCTGATTTGCTTTCTGGTGTAAGGCTCCTCCTGGCTTGCAAAAGGCCACCTTCTCACTAGTCCTCACGTGCCTTTTCCTGGGTGTGTGCATAGACAGAGAAAGAGGCAGGGAGAGAGGGGGAGGGAGGGAGGCAGAGAGAAAGAGACAGACAGACAGACACTCTGGTTTCTCCTCCTCCTCTTATAAGGACATCTAACTGTTGATTAGGGCCCCACACTTAGGATCTCAATTAACCTTAATTACTTCCTTAGAGGTTGCAGCGGGGCTTAGGACTTGAACATACAACTTTGAAGAGGGGCAACATATGACTTACAGACATTTAGTCTATAACAATCATAAAAGTCTGCAAAAAATTTGCTAATACTGCATGCAAAATATTTGTTGTATCTGTACTCAATTCAGTCCACTATTTCTTTCACTTAGGCACAGTGGAAAACACCACCAGTATGGTGCCTGTCTGCGTGGAGCTTTCATTCTTATGCACAAGACAGAAATTAAACAAGTGGGATAGTGATTTAAGAGCATAAGCTTTGGTACCAGACTGTCCACGTTGCATCTTAGTCTTGGACAGTTATTTAAATGTTTGTCTCTTGTGTTAATGAGAATAACAATAGTATTTACTTTTAGGTTGTTTGAAATAGATAATATTGCATTATAATTCTTACTTAATAATTTTTATTTCATTAATGCTAAATCAGTGTTAGCTGTGATTATTAAATATAAACAAATCTATTACTCAATTGTGCAGATGCCTCCTAAGAAATTTTGCTTCTTCCAAATTTTGTTTCCCTCAAATTTGCCCTCCACCACCACTAAATTAATCTCTGGTGATGTCATCCCCTGCTTTAAATGCTTCTGCACACTCCACCGCCTACAATGAAGTCTAAGCTGTGTTCTCCTGGTCTGCTCCCTGCCCACCCTCTGGCCTAATCACTCACCACTTCCTGTCTCAGTGCAGAGTGTGCTCCAGCAACATTCAACCTGTGGCCACACTGTGCTGTTTCTTGCCTTGCTCCCTTC